AATTAAAAATTGTTCGATTTAAAAAAACTAACGTGAATTAATGTCACACATGTTATATAATATTTTAGGTGTTTTTAATATTTTAAATATACATGTTTAATTTTCTTTTATAATGAAATATAAAACTATAAAAATAATGATAAATATTATTTCGCTAATTAAGTATAATAAATATTAAAATGATAAACTAACAACTCATTGTCGAACTGTCAGGTAAATTATCATATTATAAGTAGATTATTCTGATCTTAGAGTTTCATTTAAGTTCCAACGGCATCTGTTCTTATTTATAGTTTTGTATGTAATTACAATAAATAAAAATCATCGTCAGATTTTATGGTACTTTGACTTTTTTCTTAAATAAATTAGTATTTAGTCACGCCTATTATATGTTGTTGTTTCGCATGGAAGTAATAGAAATGAGTTTAAAATATTAGTTTTTGGGGACAACAAGTTGCCAAGTAATCAAACTAATAATATTGTACAATAAGGTTCTTAATAATATATTTTTTTATGATGAATATTTTATGATTTACAATTTACCTACGTAATATCACTATTTTATTTTTTAATACACTTCAAATTATAATATTCTCCAAAATAAATACAATCCGTGCATCGCACGGGTTACGTATTAGTTAACTTGTAACATAACAGAAGATATAATTTGGTCCATGAGTGTCTCATCTCATATTGGGAGAAAATATCAACACTAGAAGAAAATTATAGATTTTATTCTAATGAAAGAGTACTAAAATATTCATATTTCAATATTCTAATATAATGTTTTTAAAATATTCCACTAGATTTTAACTATTGAATATCAATTTTTTAAACGGTTGATTGAAAAATGATATACGCAGAAGTATTTTAATGAAATTCTATAAAAGCCTATTTGGGAAGGAATGGATTTGGAAACTTTAAGTTTTAAATTACAAAATAATAAGAGATATAATTATAAAAAAATTTAGTTTATTTAACAAAACTAGTTAAACATAATTTTGAAATTAGACGATATCAACAATATCAAATTCACCAACAGCAGCACTATATTTTATATTTACAGAAATCAGTGAAATCATCAGTGGTGTCATGCTATGGAGAATTACATAAATCAGTAGCATAAAAAAAATAAAGAAAATCATATCATCACTATGGAGAATTCGATCAAATATGCTCAATACTACAAAAACACTATATTTTATATTTACAGAAATCAGTGAAATCATCAGTGTTATGAGAATTACATAAATCAGTAGCATAAAAAAAATAAAGAAAATCATATCATCACTATTGAGAATTCGATCAAATATGCTCAACACTAGTACTTTGTTGCTTTGATTTTGTGTTGTTTCTTCTTTTGTTTTTCCCATTACGTAAAATTTGAATTCGATTACATAAAATTTAAATTATTTAAATTCTGTAAAATTTGAAGTCGATTACATAAAATTTAAATTATTTAGATTCGATGTAGATTAAATAATTCAATATCACAAGCAATATGTGTAATATTAGAGAAATTACATAAAAATTTTGTTTTGTTTTAGAATCCACGAGTACAAAATTTTGTTTTGTTTTAGAATCCACGAGTACAAAAGATTAAATTGGGACTTGGGAGAAGTTCAAAATTAAATCACTAGTTTGATTCAATTTAATTCCACAAGATTTCTTTGAAGAACCCATTGCCCCCACTTAAAAAAATTGCCACAAAAAAATCTTGAAACATTATAAACTGTCGTAACAAAATTCATTTCACCTAACTCAACGAAAGTAACTTCCACATTATCCTGAAACGAACAAAAAATTATCCATCCTATAAACTAAAAACCACAACCACCCAACATTCAGCCCATCAAAACCATGTAATAAAAATCAATAAATATAGAAATCCCTGTACACAAAATCTCTACCTATTTTTGGCTAACCTAGAGTAGAATCAGAACCTTTAGCTACAAAATTCTCCTAAATCCTCTCTCTAATGAAAAACCCAATTAAACTGAACATTATACACATCATCCAGATTTCCAGAACACCCACCGTTACAAGCCCGGCCCGGGACGCTCAAACCGGACATGCTCGTGCGCGTTTAGAGTCTCCTTCGTAAAACTTTCCAAGGCCTTGAAAATCGGCACAAGCCCACCCTGCAAGCTTCTAGAAGCCGCATCGTTCACCAGTTTCATGGCGTCCTTGTGCTTCACTCTCTCCTCCGCCACTTTCTCTTTCATCGAGTCGAGATCCACCTTGAGATCG